GTGTGGCAAATTGTGCACTGAGGTTTGTAATTTTATTAATGAAGAATGTGGCAAAGTCGTCAGCTGTTAGAGTTGGTGAAGGAGGGGGAGGAGGAGGACAAAGGAGGGTGGAAAATGTTTTAAAGAGCATGCGAGAGTTAGACGAATTATTAATTTTGTTATAGTAGTATGTCCTTTTAGCAGTAGAGACATTAGCAGTGAAGGAAGAGAGGAGTGACTGATACACATTAAGGTCAGTAGTATTTTTTGATTTGCGCCACACCCTTTCAGCAGCCCTGAGCTTAGAACGATGCTCGCGGAGAACATCAGACAGCCAAGGGGCAGAAGGGGTGTCTAAACAAGATGTGAGAGTGGAGCAGAAAGTATCAGTAGCACTGTTAACATCAAGAGATGATAACTGTTTAGGGGGAGGAAGCGGAGATGAAACCATAGCAGATAGCCGGGAGGGTGAGAGTGAGCGTAGGTTACGTCGAAAGATGACCTGTGTTGAGTCAGGAACCATGTTGAGGGTAAGAGTGAGGAGGAAGTGATCCGAGGTGTGCAGTGGAGTAACCAGTACATGATCAGTGGAGCAGTGTCGTGTGTAAATAAGGTCCAGTTGGTTGCCTGATTTGTGAGTAGCCGTAGTTAACACTCTCTTGAGATCAAAAGAGGCAAGCAGAGTGTGGAAGTCTGCAGCCTGAGGTTTATCTAGGTGGATGTTGAAGTCTCTAAGCATAACTAGGGGAGTACCATCCTCAGGAAAGGTTGAGAGCAGCACATCTAATTCATCCAAGAAGTTACCTTGTGGTCCTGGGGAATTATATTTCAATTATAATTATATTTCATATAATTCAAATAGTGGTACATATCCGGTTTTTAAGCCTCTTTTAAACTCTCAAGTTAAAATTCAAATTTTGAAAAACTGCTTCACTTTTTGCCTTTGTCTTTTAGGGAGTTTGCTGGACTTCTTGAAGGAGGGTGAGGGCAAGTACCTCAAGCTGCCCCAGCTGGTAGACATGGCTGCCCAGGTGAGAGAAAAACTCAACCACGATCCACTGTTAACCAGCCATCTTTGTTTTCCTTTTCCACACGTAGTAACGCACAGCTGCCCAATCGTTAGCAGAAGCATGTCACGGTGAACCTGGACGGGTGGCATCTCCCAGAGCGGCAGGGTTTCTGTTTCAGCCTCCATCTGGCTGTCATATTTATTTAATATCTGATATGACATCCTGCTGCCTGTGTGTCTCTCCCAGGCACTATGATCCTCATTTCCCGCCTAATGCCTGAAGCACTTAACCGCCACTCCTATGGGGCCACTTCACTTTAATGTGTCTACTCAATTCTGCTCTGTTCGCTTAAAATGCTTGCTGTTGCTCTCTCACGTTCCACTTCAATACTGCACTCTCTCTCTCTCTCTCGCCTCCCTGGGCTCCCATCGCTGCCGCATTGCTTGGCTGAGGCTTCAGTCTCCCTCTCACATCTCTGCTTGTGAGATGATGCTTATGAAAACCTTTTGCAGTCTAAGATTGTTTGTTAAATTCCCTTATTTTCTTCCTGTTTTCTGTTTTCTGCTTTCAAGCTTGTATTTAGCAAACAGTTTGCTTGCTTTGTAGATTTTGCCCGTAAGCACCTATATCAGGGGTCACTAAACTCGGTAGTGGAGGGCCGGTGTCTAGCAGAGTTTAGCTCCAACTTGCCTCAACACACCTTCCTGGAAGTTTCAAGTATACCTAGTAAGAGCTTGATTAGCTGGTTCAGGTGTGTTTGACTAAACTCTGCAGGACACCGACCCTCCAGGACAGAGTTTGGTGAGCCCTGAGCTATATAAACATTGGTTAAACCATAGCTTTTAAGCACTGAAGCTTCGATTTTGTGCCACCTCATCTGAACCCATAAATGCAACATTTCGGCACTCTTAATATAGGATTTCCATGACTGGAACTGACAGGTTGGCTTTTATAAGAGTTTCTGGAGGCTTGATTTCCTGTCGTCTTGTCTAGATTGCAGATGGCATGGCCTTCATCGAGAGGATGAACTACATCCACAGAGACCTGAGGGCTGCTAACATCCTGGTGGGAGACAATCTGGTCTGCAAGATCGCCGACTTTGGCCTGGCTAGACTGATTGAAGACAACGAATACACTGCAAGACAAGGTACGTGGGCGGAAATGCAATATTAAAACATTCTATACATTCTATAGTGATAATTACTTAATTGCCTGGCCATGCTTTATCTGATATTAGAAATAAATCATGATTATTATCCACATTAAATTCCAATCACGTATTACTATCCGACAGGGAATTTTAAGTTAATGTAGTAGACTTATATTATTATATTACAGGAATAATATTCCACTCAGGTTGTGAATGAAAAGTAGATGAAGAAAGTGAAGTAAAATGTTTTTTTTTCTTAATGATATTCTACTCCTGTGCATTTTATTTTATGAAGCATTCAGGGAAATTATATATTTTATTCTATAATTATAATTAATATAAAACCAAAGCTTTGATTTGAAAATGGAAACAATATATGCATGGTGAAATATGTAACTCACCATCTTTTGTCTGCAACAATGCTGCTACTGGCAGCAAAGCTGTTGTGCTGGAAATTACAAGGCAATCAGCATGTAATCATACAGAATTACCTCACTTACTGTCTGAATCCATCATCTCCCAGAATGCACTGTGATTGTGTAGAGCATGTTGACTTGCCATTACCTACATAAATGGTGAATGATGATTTATTTCCCTGCAGGGAGTCTTGAGAACCCAAAAGCTTCTGGGCAGTAAAGAAAATGACACGTCACATACTGCAATCTTATGCTTTGTATGTGCATCTGTATTTGTAGATGTTTCACTAATGACCTTTCATGGTCTATGAATCAATGTATTTCAGTTTTTCATGTTATTTGAGCTGTAATGCTTGTGCAGAAGACGGAGGTTCAAATCTGACTTGTTGTGTCCTGAACCCATGAACACACTATCAATGAGTTGACATGGCAAAAAAAATAAATAAATTGGTTTTAATTTTTTACCATGTAAATCCATTGCATTAATAATAATAATAATGCATTTTATTTAATGGCGCCTTTCAAAACACCCAAGGTCACCTCACAAGCAAGCAAAGATAAAAAATAAATACAAATCACTACACAATAAAAAAAACACACAACAAACACTCCGCATATACAGATAAAGTGCAGTAAAGACTCAATAAAACATTATAAGAAAGCCTGTATAAAAAGATATGTCTTAAGACGCGTTTTAAAAGTCAGCAGGCAATCGCTGTTGCGAATATCAGGGTAAATCCATTGCATTAAGTAAGTTGAAGTCTACAGGATGTTTTAAAATGCTGACATTTGCTTTGCTTTAGTAACAGCCATTGACTCTACTGCAGTAATTATAGAATGTGTGCCATTGTTCTTTCAGGAGCCAAGTTTCCCATTAAGTGGACTGCACCAGAAGCAGCGCTGTATGGCCGATTCACCATCAAATCTGACGTCTGGTCCTTCGGTATCCTGCTAACTGAGCTGGTAACCAAGGGCAGAGTGCCATATCCAGGTGAGAAATATTACATTTGATTCAGCAGTAATTTATTTTTTCCTCGCACTCTTTTATTTTAGGATGATTACATTTTATATGCTTTTGAGGTAGACTTCCATGCATATTTAAAAGCATAGTTCACCCAAAAATGAAAATCATCGTTATTTACTCACCCTCATGTCGTTCAAAACCTGAATGAATGAAGATATTTTAAAGAAATCTGAGTGGTTTCTGTCAAACTTAGAAGATCCATAAAGCAGTGATAAAATGAATCCATATGAATTGAGCCGTCCAATCCAAGTCTTTTGAAGAGAGATGATTGCTTTGTATGATGAACAGAATTATTGTAGGTTTTATTTATATTTAAACAACCATCAACGCACATACATAAAGTACATTACATATGGTAAACACGTAAGCTCAAACATGCGTGCGTGATGCACAAGAACAAATGAGGTATGCTTTAGCGTGTGACGTATGTATTTTATATGTGAATAAATGCCTAAATTAAATCTTCATCTTAAGAAACAAACCGACTGAGATAAGTGTTAAAAGGCCACATATATTACCCATATAAACCCATACATATATATATATATATATATAATAATAATAATGCATTTTATTTAATGGCGCCTTTCAAAACACCCAAGGTCACCTCACAAGCAAGCAAAGATAAAAAATAAATACAAATCACTACACAATAAAAAAAACACACAACAAACACTCCGCATATACAGATAAAGTGCAGTAAAGACTCAATAAAACATTATAAGAAAGCCTGTATAAAAAGATATGTCTTAAGACGCGTTTTAAAAGTCAGCAGGCAATCGCTGTTGCATTGCATTCAGTAAATCCATTGCATTAAGTAAGTTGAAGTCTACAGGATGTTTTAAAATGCTGACATTTGCTTTGCTTTAGTAACAGCCATTGACTCTACTGCAGTAATTATAGAATGTGTGCCATTGTTCTTTCAGGAGCCAAGTTTCCCATTAAGTGGACTGCACCAGAAGCAGCGCTGTATGGCCGATTCACCATCAAATCTGACGTCTGGTCCTTCGGTATCCTGCTAACTGAGCTGGTAACCAAGGGCAGAGTGCCATATCCAGGTGAGAAATATTACATTTGATTCAGCAGTAATTTATTTTTTCCTCGCACTCTTTTATTTTAGGATGATTACATTTTATATGCTTTTGAGGTAGACTTCCATGCATATTTAAAAGCATAGTTCACCCAAAAATGAAAATCATCGTTATTTACTCACCCTCATGTCGTTCAAAACCTGAATGAATGAAGATATTTTAAAGAAATCTGAGTGGTTTCTGTCAAACTTAGAAGATCCATAAAGCAGTGATAAAATGAATCCATATGAATTGAGCCGTCCAATCCAAGTCTTTTGAAGAGAGATGATTGCTTTGTATGATGAACAGAATTATTGTAGGTTTTATTTATATTTAAACAACCATCAACGCACATACATAAAGTACATTACATATGGTAAACACGTAAGCTCAAACATGCGTGCGTGATGCACAAGAACAAATGAGGTATGCTTTAGCGTGTGACGTATGTATTTTATATGTGAATAAATGCCTAAATTAAATCTTCATCTTATAAACCAATCATATTTCTTCACAAGACGGATTAAACCAATTGATTCATATGGATTTATTTTACAACAACTTTATGACCTTTTTGGATGTCAGTTTTGCTTACCTGGACTTTCAGTGGAGGGACAGAAACTTCTCAGGTTTCATTAAAAATATCTTAATTTGTATTTCAAAGATTAACCAAAGTCTAATGGGCTTGAAAAACATGATAACAGAAATCTCATATTTGGGTGATCTACCCCTTTAATATCATGCACAACCAGTATATGTGCTCCAGACACACCTGAACCAGCTAATCATGGTCTTCAGGTTTACTCAAAAATTACAGGCAGGTGTGTTTAAGCAGGGTTGGGATCCAACAGACCTGCAGGTAGATAGAGCTCCAAACTGAGAGGTGCGAATTCCACTGTGCCCCCTACTGGAGCAGAGAGAGACTGCTGGGTGTGTTATTACTGCTCCAAAGGAGCCATCTGGCTTAGGCGGGAGGGCATGAAGGACTGACTGGGCACCAGTTCTTATTTACCACCATCTGTCTGTTCCCTTCCTGCACTCGTCCCTCACACGGCCCAGTCTGTCATTTGTAATGTTTACCTAAAGCCTCTCACTGATGCTGCACATCACAAACCCAGTTAGGCTTTCATCAATCGTTCAGTCGTACACTATTAGAGTCAGTCCATTATTGATGGGCATCTGCTTCCATGCTGGATTAATGCAGCAACTTCGCTCAAATGCCAGCAGTGTGGCTTAGTGGTTAAAGAACTGGGCTGTTTGCCAAAAGCTTGTAGGTTTGAACCCCAGTAATAGAGATCCTTAAACTATCAGCATTTTAACCGCAGATGCCCTTGGATGTTAGTGTACACTGTTCGGCTATACAGGCTTGAATTATTTCATGGGTTTGATAGAGTGAAAGAGAAAGTTTATAATCTGTAATATGACAAAGCTTTGCCTAGTCTTAATATAGTCTTAAGCATTTCCATTCAAGCCACAACAGGAAGTCCAGCGGCTTTTTAACTTCCCAATTAACATAAGATTTATTGATTTGAATTTAGCACAATAAGCCTTATTGTTGCAAGTCATTTTGCAAGCGAGTGTAAATGAAGGTAGGCTGAGCTCAAAAAGGTCACTCAGTTTCTCACATGCATAAAGAATGTACATATGCGGCCCAGGAAAATTCTCCTTCCTCTGAGAGAGCTCTCGGATACAGTCGACCCACCGATTTACAGTTCCCGTTCTCTCACGTAGCACCAGACTGTCTGTCCCCTCTGTCCTCAGTGCTCCCGTCCTCTGTGGGTTTCAAGCGAAGTGTCCGCTGTAATTACACACCCCTCACACCCTGTCTGAGACAGTCTGGCCGCTGAACAGTTGGCGGTCGCACAAACTGACTCGGTATCCACTGTTTTTCAGGCATGGTGAATCGAGAGGTGTTGGAGCAGGTGGAGCGGGGCTACAGGATGCCGTGTCCTCAGGGCTGCCCGGAGTCGCTGCACGAAATGATGCAGCTCTGCTGGAAGAAGGAGCCAGACGAGCGGCCCACTTTCGAATACATCCAGTCCTTCCTGGAGGACTACTTCACCGCCACTGAGCCACAGTACCAGCCCGGAGACAACCTGTAGAGACCTCCTACGGGAGCCAGAGACTCACCACCACGTGCTAATAAGCCACCGGGACGGTTCCCAAACCCATTGTGGCACCTCCTCCCTACAGCTCCCCCTGCACACTTGTCCTTACAGAGATGTTTTTGTTTTTCCTTTACCCTCCCAGAGCCAAACTTAAAAACACGATTAGTGCATAAAACGTATCTTTTACAGCAGATACAGGCTGTTCTCTGCCTGAAGATGTGTGTGGTGGAGTTGACGAGGGTGTGTGTATGAGCGGGACCACATCACGCTCCCAGAGCTCTGCTGGGGTGATTCCCTGCATTGCTGTCAGAGGGAGCTGTGAGACAAGCGATGAGCTTAGTGCTGATGGCTGGTTCACAGTTGCACAAAATCAGCTTTTACTTTATTTTTTTTTTTATCTATTTTGTTTTTTTTTTCCTCCCTTTTGTCTGTTTCTTTTTACCTGAACACTAAATCTTATTGTAAAATCAGTCTTTATTATTTTAAAGTTGTTCATTTTTCTTTTTCCCCCTTTTTTATTTTATTTAGTAGTTTGAGTAGTTTATTAAAAGTGACCAATAACTGTGGTTGAATTGGTTGGCGCTACCAGTGACAGTTAGTGCCATTGTTGAGACGGGAAAGTGGAAGAAAGACCGAGAGAATGAGACGCATGAGGGCATTAGCCGTTCTGAATGTATGAGAGCTTGAGTTTGAGAATGATCATAAATGAAACATCAATTACAGGGGCAGAATGTTTTTTCTCTAAAACACTTTTTTTAATAAGTACTTTCATTTCAGTTTTAATCAATCTCTATGAGAGCTTGAAATCATATCCTGGGAGATGATTCATATTGGAAGCCTTCACAAAACATTTCTGACGACTGATCGCCATTTCAGCCAGCTGCTAATTTTCAAGCAAAAAGTCATTGTTATAAATCGTATTTTTGTCTCGAAATATTTGATGGTAACTTAGCAGAGAGACCTTTGATTAATAAAACACTAGACCTGACCAGTCCAAACATCATTCCTCATGCTGCTGTTGAGACCCGACAGGTCTTAATATCCCAACAGCAATGCCCGAGTTGCTTTTTTTTACGCGTATCAGCACCCACACTGCCAGGTTTGTGTTTTTCGTACCAACACATTTGTAGTGTTGCCAACCACTTGGTACCAATTCATTGTTCTCTCATGTACACTCAAATAAATGAACCACAGAGATTTATTGATATTTCACAGATTATTTCATACATAAATATTTCAGTATATCTCAAGAAAGCCATGGTTTCTTCATCTTGACATACGAATGTGAACTTACTCAAATTATTTCACACAGATCTGTTTTGACTCTTTTGCAAGTTTCTTGACCAGGAATCAGAATTACAGAAACTCCATGATGTACCACGTTTGCTGCTGGTGGAGTTGTTACATTTCCTGTTTAGGCATCGATCACTGTGAAATATTCAGGTACTACAGATTAAGACCATTTACCAACCAAAGCTTGATGGAGTTGGTTACAATTTGCCTTCCATCCTGAGCGCATAAAAAAAAGTATGTGATTGATGTTTTCCTTGATCTGTTAAAATGGTACAAGTCTAATGGAGAGGGCAAATTAGATATCATCATACAGCCGTACAATTTTTGCACCATTTCAGATTCAGTCTTAATGGTTGGTCATGTACTGTCTATAACAGGTTCATTTCATCCATGACAAGGAATCGAATGCACTTGGGATGAATCGGACCGATATCTTTAGGAGGGCTAATTTGTTGGTTTCTTCTCCCTTTTATCGTGTAGCTTTTCATATATATAGAGAGAGGCCTTGCGTTTGTCCTTCATTTATGTGAGCCCTTTGTCCTAGAGAATTTGTCTCCTCCTGTACCCAGGACATCAACTAGACATCTCTCCCATCACCACCTCCTGTTTTACAAGGGCTACAGGCAAGTTTGTGCAAAGCTCTGTTATTGATTTTTGTTCGTGTCAAAAAAAAGAGAGAGAGAGAAGTACTCCAATGTAAGCTGAGGGTCTCCGCTGCAAAGTTTGATGAGGACATTAGTTGTGAAACAATGGTTACGATTACTAATCTGAAGAATTTGTACAGTAAAAAATAAAGTTTTACGTAATGCTTTTAACTCCATGTGGGTTATTTGTAAATCATGCGTGTGTGTTGTTCAGACTTCTGTGAAACACTTTCATCCCTGGAAAATGTAGGTAGATAGCATTTGGACTGGGACTGAACAGAAAAAAGGGACTTTATAGTGCATTATCTGAATTTGAATCTTGCAATATCAGTGCATCTCTCACAATGTGGCTTTATTTCTTGTTGTAAGTTTCTCACAATTAAATTTTTTTTTTACTCTGAGACAGAAGCAGGCATCCATAGAAACATGCTCAAGAATTAAATGAAACATTTATAATGCTTTATACACATGAAGGCCTAGGATGTAATAAACTAGGACAGGGGTCACCAGGCTCGGTCCTCAAGAGCCGGTGTCCTGCAGTGATTGACTCCAACTTGCCTCAACACACCTGCATGGAAGTTTCAAGTATACCTAGTAAGATTAGCTGAACCTTGATTAGCTGGTTCAGGTGTGTTTGATTAGGGTTGGCGCTAAACTCTGCAGGACACCGGCCCTCTAGGACCGAGTTTGGTGAGCCCTGAACTAGGAAATGGTTTTGCACTAAAAGTAAATTATTTTTAAGTTGTGATTCAGTTATACTTGTTTACAATCACACAGTGATATATATTTTAATTATACCTTAAGTACATTTCTGACATACTGATGTTTAAGTCAATTAACAAGACATGTTACAAATGCAGCTAACTGGAACCTGTCACATGATAAGACCATAAATAAATGACAGTACTTACCGTTACTTGATTTTTAAACTTAACACAATGCATAAAATATAAATATATATGATGATACCAGTGTACCCTGGTTAGTGCTGGGATGAAAGCTTATGACTTGTAGATTATACATCATCATGCCTAAAAAAAAAAAAAAGAAGGCGGCAACAAGTTAGAGGCTAGTCCATTACCTACCTTTTTTGACATTTTAATTTAGAACTTGTGCAGGTCATTTTAAAATATTAACCCTGTAAAGAGTACATAAAGTCAGATTTTTTTTAAAGAAACAGTTTATTGAACCTTTTAACAAAACAAAATCTTTTTTTTTAATTTCACGTCTTTTAATGAATTTATTTTTTATCATTTTTGATACATCAGGCTTTAATGGGCCATATTTAGTATGATGAGACTAGCTATACATTTTATGTAGAGGCCCAAACTGAGCAAAATTGTGCAATTTGGTGCAGCTGTTGTTATTTAAGTGGCCAAAAAGTAAGATTAAATTCTGATACCTTGTAATGTTTATTTTTAAAACCGTATAACAGACTACGTAGATAACATTCACAGAAGTATCAGCTGTTACACTATATGTCCCAATGATATGGCTTCGTAAGATATTTAAATGCTTATTTTTATGATCAGTGCTCTGTAGTTTTAATTTTGGGGGCAAACACAATGCAATGCAATGCAATACAGTACAATGATGATTGAGAGATGTGCAAATAAGTGTTCCTCAAAAGCCTGTTGTATGATAATTGATACATTTTAGCACTATTTTTCTTAAACATTATTTATGGAAAATTAAACAAAACTAAGTTGATCAAACCAGTAAATTGTTATATTAATATGTTAATAAAATATCAAAGTTATTCTTATATTTACTTTATAGAAATCATCAAAGATTTTTTACAAACATTTTTACAATTATACTCACAGGCCTTTTTCTTGCTAAAAAAAAAAAGTATGAACTATCAACAAGTTTTTCATCAATGTTTTTTTTTTCCATTTTGATATTTTAGAGCCCTTAAAAATTCATGTATCAAATATGATTCAGCAGGCTTGATAGGGTTAATAACAATTTAAATACTTTTAAGCATTAAATACTTTTAAGTAAGGCACCCTAGTGACTCCTCGAGTCCCTGGTTGAGAACCCATGATTTATGTGATTAAACTGTGGGGTGTTCTCTTCATGAGATGTTAACTGTTCCTATGAAATGTGTGCTGATGAGTGTGAACTATTCTGACGTGCTTCATGATGTGACTAATTGGAAAGTGTCTCACCTGGCCATCTGCTTGTACATGCCCAGAGCCTCCTGTGCCACATACTGGATGAAGGCGGGATCCTGCAGCCTGAGACCCGCAGGAACGGTCAGGGTGAGAGTGGGGGAGTTGAGAATATTCACTTCCACTGTAGTGTCTGCTGCTGGGGTGTTGTCGCCCTCCTCAGTCTGTGCCACCACCTTGGTTTTTTTGGGATCAGTAGATTTAGTATCTGTTTTTTCTCACCTACTGAATAATTGCCATATTCATGTAGCAAGGTATTTCAGTGAATTCCATGGTACTGCAATGCTACACGTCCAAAATAGCACAGTATGGCAAAAAAAACAAAAAAAAATGGTAATACCATGATATTTTTTGTTAGTGTCTCACCGTGGCGATGCTGAAGATGCTCTCAGGAGTGGTGTTGTTATTGGCGAGCTCAGTCACCCAACCAAAGTCAGAGGCCATGTTGCTGAGCCAGCTGATGGTGTCATCAGTATGACGTTGCACGATGCCCAGCACCTCCTCGTACTGCTGCTTGGATGCTTCCAACAGCTGAGAGGCTTCATCCAACTCAATGTGCAATTCTCTTACATTTGGGCATTCTGCGAATCAAACAGTGAGTACTTGAAATGATCAGTACCACTGGTAAGAGTTTTCTTAAAGGGAAAGGGAAAATTCTGTCATCAATTCTGTAATCTCATGTTGTTCCAAACCTGCATGACTTCAGTTTTTTCCATGGAACACAATGATTGTTGTGGGTGCAAAATTGAAAAAATAAAACCTTGTACTCAGACAAATGAAACTACATTTATGTATCTTATATGTACTAAGCTACTGCGCTATGCTTTGATACAACCTCCCAACTTTTCTCTTTTTTAACAAAATGTGCTTTTTTACCTTGGACTGTGTAATATAATTTCAGCTTTATCTTTAACAGCATTCAAGATGTTTTTAACATTTCAAAACACATTATCGTGTTAGCAGACAGATTACACGTTCACATGTGACCAACAATTCCACAACAAATATAAAATATCATAATGAAATATTATCAAAATAACTGACGGAGTTGACACATCTGACGGAGGTGACGAAAACCTGAATTTGTAGTCATTTTAACTATCAAATACATTGAATCAGTCAATTACTGTATTAAAACAAACAACAAACAGTGAGTATGTTATTGTTTATAAAGCTTTTATTCAAGAGTCACATTTAAGTATTTTGATATATCATTGGAACACAAAATCTTATGGTGGTGACATCTGACGGTGTTGACAAATTTGGCATTTCTTTCACAAAACCAATGGAGTTCATGTAGTAGCCAATTAATTTTTTTCTGTTGATGCTAGATGCTAATGGAACCTGCTTCAGGAGAATAAAATTATCTAAATATTTCAAATAATTTCCTCAGAAATTGGAAGATGGTGTTGACATATCATGGCTGTGACAAAGGAAATATTAACATTAGGATTTAAAATATTCTAAAACTATAAAACTTAGCAGAGCCTGTCTGACACTGATGTACTCTGCAGAGGTGAACTGTGGAAAGGGGGTCCTTTAGAGTGACCGCTGCCCCTGATATTCCCTGATTTTATTACATTTTATTGAATGTCTGATGGTGTTGACAAAACGTGGGGACGCAACTTTAAAATCTTATGAAACATGCATGTGTCATTACAAAACAACCTTGCTTTGATAGGAGATATTATTAAGTGTTGCTTTTGATAAAACAAGCTCTTTTTCATCATTAAAAATTTTTTTTAAATTGATTTTATTGCATATGAATGATTGAACCCTTCTCTGTGGACACACTGTTTTAGATGTAGTGAGAGGACATTAAGAAACATAGATTTTGTATAATAATGAGAAAATTAAATTGAAGGTGATAATTGTGTTAAATACATTCTATTATTAATCCCTCATGACATTTAAAATTGAAAATATTTTTATTTTTAAACCTAATAGCAGTTACCCTTGCTGGACCTGTTTTGTCCCATGTCTCAGGAATGACTGAATTCTGATAAGCAGAAAACAATTAGCTGTTAATAATGTCTTAATAAACAATGACTTAGGTCTATTCTTCACACTTCTGAAAAGAGCTGGAATATAGTGAGTACAGGGTTTTCATTTTTGGGTGAACTATCCATTTAACTAATCAATGTGAGCATGCATTCTTACCGGTAAACAAGGTTCCCTGGCAGGCCTCACACTTGCTCTGCAGCTGCTAGCACTCTGAGGACTGTCTGCAGCAGATCTCTGCACAGTCTCTTGTTCTGCAGAAACTGAGGGAAGAGTTTCTTCTCTGGAGTGAATACAGACACAAGTAGAGAGAGTTAAGGCCTGTTCACATCAAGAGCAATAACTATATTAGCGTTCACACCAGCGCACCATAACATTCTGTTTAAGAGTACACTGCAGTTATGTTGTCTGCTACTTTAAAAGCTCAAGCTCTTTAAAATCGTGTGGATTCCAATTGGCTGTCAATGTTTTTATCATTCATCAGCTGGGGGATCATAGTGAGACCCCCCCATAACTTTTGACACCCTGTACTCAGTCCCACTGTTTTTATCGTTCATCATCTGGATAAAATAGCTCTGACAGTGATTCCACATTGTTTCTCTGTATCACGGTTGGTATTGTGGCCTCTGCTATTCTCTTAGCGTAAAGGCCCGTTCACACACACACACACACACACACACACACACAAAACAAACAATAACTAATTAACATCCACAACATCGGATAATAACGTTCTGTTTATTATAATCATGTGTTACAGTTATGACTCGTCTGCCGCTTTAAATGCTTGAGTCAGGTAGATTCTGATTGGCTGTAAATATCGTCCTGACTCCAGCGATATTGTTCCTCTGTGTTGTTATCGTTACAGCTATGATGAGGACTTCGCTATTCTCATAGAGTTAGAATGATTATTAAAACAGTAGGCTATAGTTATCGTGCTTGGTGTGAACGGGCCTGAACTATAATAATGATAAGCATATTAGCATCCAGAACGAC